ACTTGACAGCAACGCAAGAGAGCCATGGGAATAGTTCAGAATTGGTTGATAAAATAAAAACCTTCAAAAGAGCTAAATGGCTGAGAGTAAGTTACCCTTGTAGGTTAAATACCCCTCATAAATGAGAAGTAATGGAATGATAAATGCTAAAGTTACATCTTTGTAGATCTGACTATGTGATTAGATAATATGAGACCAGATCATTACCTCGAGGCATCAAGACTTCATTTAGGGGGTGTTTTGTAACGTGGATGAAAAATTGGTGGGTGTGGATTGGTCCACACTATCCTATGTGGTAGGGATCAATTTACACTACATTATAGTTCACAGGTGTTCTGAACTGTGGACATGTGTGGATTGGTCCATTCCACACCCACAATGACATTTTGTAGAGTTTATACTACACTTTTTGATTCCATGTATCTCATATACATTTTATGAATGACCTACATATTTAATCATAAATATCTAATTTTTGTATTTTATATGATAAATATATTGAAGAAAGACATCAATAAATTAATATTAACCAATAAATATTAATTTTAATGAAAACAATAATAAAATAATTAAAAAATAAAAAATATATTTTAAATATTTAAAAATATTATTTTATTGATAAAAACATAAAAAATTAAAAAATTAAGTAAACTAATTAATAGTTTATTGATAAAAATATTAAAACTTCAAGAAAATTTCCCACTAGATAGAAATATTCTATTGCAAACCATTATTTTTCCCATATTAAGAAAATTTCAAGTTACCAATAAAAAAATGTTCAAGCCAACCCAATAGACCAGAACCAACCTAACCCTATTACATAGATCTGATCTGCATTTTGAGTCCTATGATAGGGTTGGTTCTAGATTTGATCTACATTTTGAGTCAGAGATAGGATTTCCARGGAGCATGTGAAGTGAGATATTAAAGTTAAACCGTGGACAGACCTCCACAAGAAAATGCCTGCTTGATAATATGGAGTGCGGACAGGGCCGGTCCATGATATAGTGTGGACCGGTCCCATCCATGACCAGCCGAACACCTTGTTCATCTCATGGCATGGATTGAAACGGTCCCTCCACGAGATGAACATGGAATCGAACACCACCTTAATCACTTGAGTCATCTGTAAGAGTGACTTAATTAAAAACAAGCATTGAATGCTGAAGATAACTAAAAACAGGAAAATTTGGATTGAATAAACATATAAACCTAAGAATTTAGTAAAAATTCTTATTTCAATCAAGGGATTTGTTTTTCAATATCTGGTTTTGAAATATAAAAGTATAAGGGATTTGATTTTTGGTTTTATAACCACAAATCTATAGTTTTTTAAACCATAAATTTCCCATTTTTGAATGCCCCAACATCTCATATTCTAAAACTCAAAAACCYCATTTCATTAGTGCAAAATAAAATAATGAAACACAAAATACAACCAACAAACAGGCCACAGAACACCGCCAAATAGTTACATGTCTCAAAACACCAATTTCTCAATTCAAGAACAGTGGGGTGAAGTGGTTTCAACCCCACAAAAAATTAGAGTATTTTTATCATTCTTTTGCTTTAAATATCAAACAAACATGTTAGGGGGCTCGTTTGGTTGGTGCTAAGGTTCAAAGTATTGACACGTATTGGCCCGTATCAACCGATGCATATCATTCTGGGACCCCTCCGATATGCCCTTACAGTGGGTGTATCGGGGGTCTGACTGGTTCAGGGGGTGGAGGAGCCTTAAACCAGCCCCCCTGAACTGGTTGCGAAAAAAAAAAGCATCAAAAGCTGTATCGATTTTCCCAATACGCCCATACCAGCGTATCGGGCGTATCGATATTTTGAACCTTGATTGGTGCAATATTAAAAAATAAATTTAAAAAAAAAAACAAAAAAAGGACTGATAAACTTGAAAATGCGGGTTTGAGTTAAGTCTTATTTTGCTAAAATTGCGGGAGGCCACGGTGTTTCCTGTCCACTCCTCCCAAGGCCCCAAATAGTTGGGACCAGTATTAATGGCTTCTGCCAAACAGGTTCGGTTTTATTATTTCTTGCACCCTAAGCCTTATATTTGCCCCCTTTTGCTACAGTTTGGAGAGGTCTTGATTGGATTGTTTAAAGACCAATTTAATGAAAGAAAGGTCAATTAAAGTAAAATGAAAATTAAGTTCTGTAACCTCTTTATGGCATTAATTTCAACTGATTACTTATTCTATCTTCTATTACTTTATTTTCTCTGTTCCTTTCGACTCAAGTAAACCATTCAACACCTCCAAAACAATTAAATTATAGTCCCATCCTCTCAGCAGGAGACATGTTAAATGCAGTTGGACCAATTCTATCTACTCGATCGATCACAAGTCCACAAGGAATCGGGATTGTTCGATTGGAATCTATTATTCTCATCGTTTTTTTACAAAAATTTGTGATGCCGAAAAGGTATGATAATAAAAGAGCATTAACCAATTAAAAATCCCATGAATTTTGATAAAAACCACTTGATTGGTTATAATTTTTATGATATCAGTTAATATAAGTTGTATGTAAGATGCATGAAATTAAAAAGTGTGGTATAGATTATTTTAATACACCGACAAAACCCCTCTAAGTGTGAATTGTTTCACTGCACCTAAAATGGTATGGGTTGAATCAGTCCACACCCACCATCAATTTTCATCCATCTTATATAACACCTCCTCAATAGGGGTGTCCACGGTTTGGTTAATTGAATCATGGGCAATTTTTGCAAACCGAACCGATATCACTGGTTTTTTATTTCTCCAAATCGAAATTGAATCGGTACCACCAGTTAACTGGTCCGTCGGTTTTGGTTTTTGACCGGTTAAGTTCTTTGGTTCTTTGTTTTTTTATATTTATAATATATATTATAAATGTTTTAAAAATATATAATATATTTATAAATAGATTATTATAAATATAATATATGTATATATAATGAATATATATTTATATAACATAGAAAATATGTGACATATATTAAAAATATATATAAAATATGCATATAAATATATATACCGATCGATTTGGTTAACCATTGGTTTTTTATAGGTTAACCGAAAACCGAACCGATTCTTCAATTTTTCAAAAATTCCAAACCAAAATCGAACTGATCAATTCAATTAACCACATTTTACGGTTCAGTTCAGTTTTTCGGTTTTTCATGAACACCCCTACCCCTCAAGATCTAAGAAATCAGTATAACCAAGTGAATTTCAACCAATGGATTTGGGCATTGTCTGGAGCTCCTTGGAGACCATCCAAGCCCTACGTTTATTTCTACTAAGGGGTCAGGTAGGACCCATAGGATGTATCTGATTGAAGCATATGGAATATACTGCACGATAGAACTAGATGGGCACCATACCAAATACCCATCGGATGTGTGTCTGATCCAAACATGAGACTAACTATTTTGCTGTTTTGATGTGATTTGTATGGAAAGCCAGAAATGAATTTCCATTTAATCATTCCTTGCTTAATCCTAGTCTTACTATTCTGTTGGCTAAAAGGATGGTGAGTGGATTTTTTTTTTTTTTTTTTTTTTGTGGGAAGCTTCTAAGGAGGGTTATATAAAAGCCAATGTGGATGGGAATGTTTGAATCCAGGTATGTACATAGGTGGTAGAAATGGGCATTGTGTAATGCTTCATAGTTTTCTACTCTTAGGGCCCGTTTGGTTTGTGGGAATAGAGGTCTGGAAGTAGAACCGGAATGGGTTATTTCAATTCCACCTGTTTGGTTGAACGGAGTTGAAATCTCATTCTCATTCCTGATAGAATATCAGTCCCATTCCCTCCCCTCCCTTATAAATAAAATCTCATTCCAACTGATTTTATTTCCAATTTCAATTCCTGTCTATTCCAAACAGACTATGGGAATAGAACATTTCAATTCCGATTCCAATAGATTTCAATCCCGATTCCAATTTCAATTCTGATTGTGACTGTCAAGTTCAAGTCTCTTGTTACTAGCACTGGTTCTTGGCCCTTGTTGAATAATACTCTGTGTTTAATTATATCCTAGAAATGTGTGGTTCTGGGGAAGAGAAGGAAGCAAAGTGGCTCATGAGCTCACTAGGAGAGGGGCTTAGAAATCAGATGGTTGCATGCTCCGGTTTGGTTACTCTTAGGGGGGGTGTTCTATTATATGAATGTTTTTGTTTTCATTTATTTTTCAAATCGCTACGTCAACAAAAAACAAAAACATGTTCTTAAATTCTATTTTTGTTTTCAAACAAAGAAAAACAATATATTAATACATTTTTTGAAACCAGATTCGAGAACATGTTTTTAATTTCAATTTTGAAAACAAAAAACTTGCACACATACAAAACAAGAACATGTTTCTTGTGTTTCTTAATCAAAAAACCACCTGTTTTCAAATAAAACAGTTTTGATTTATTTTTAAAATCGACAACAAGAATTAGATAGGTCAGCACTATATCTACGAGACCTTACACTAAGCAAGTGAGATGTTTTTATTTTATTTTATTTTTCATACTTCACTGTCCAATCATACGCATTAAAAAGTGAGAGAGAGAGAGAAAAAGATCTAGAGAGTATGATTCAAATTCAGGAATGAAATGAAGAAGGAATTAATATAATATAATGGTGAGGATACCAATTGGGAGGGAGGTTAGAGGTGGAGAGGGTGGTCTGCAAATCAAGAGCTTAGCATTTTTCAACTTTATTTTATGAATATATTTCCTTCTCCCTGATTGATCAGTGATTGATGACCATCCATATCTAAGCATCCAACTTACAGTCATACCTACTATACCATCACCTAACAAGTGTCTACACCTCTACTTTGTTTTCTTTTTTCCTTCCTTTTTATTCCAAATAGACATGCATCAAACAGCCATTAGTACACGTGACAGAAGAATATAGGTAAGAACCATCCGGTAGAACTGCCAGTCAAAACCCACAGAACCCTTTCTCCTAACTACTTCTCTCTCCTCTCTCTCTCTCTGCCCAATCTTCCCGATTCCCAACATAACAACCATGCAATTATACATGTGGACCTTGGATTACTCCTTTTTATCAAAGTTCTCCAGCTTTTGATCGATCGCCTCCCTGAAATTCACTCAGCAATTCCTATTTCCTTTTTGCTCATGATGGGTCTCATTAGATCCTCTTTTTCTTTGTGACAAGGGTCTTATCTTGGCTAGTTGATCTTCTCTGTTAGTTTACTTCTTCAGGATCAGGCAGACAATTGAGGAGGAGGGGGTCTAATTAAGGGTACAGACAGCACAGAGATAATGGCTGCACCAGTGAGTAATCGCCTGCAACAGATGCTGAAATCTGCAGTGCAATCAGTCCAATGGACTTACAGTCTCTTCTGGCGTATCTGCCCACAACAAGGGTACAGAGAAAACAGCACTCAATCACACACACATCCAAGTTTTACCAAATTATCATTTCTGTTGAGTGTCATGATGATGTAATACACTAATTCTACTGTAGTTGTTGCTGATCAGGATCTTAGTATGGGGAGATGGGTACTACAATGGGCAGATAAAGACCAGGAAAACAGTGCAACCAATGGAGGTGAGCGCTGAGGAGGCATCGCTTCAAAGGAGTCAACAGCTTAGAGAGCTCTACGAGTCATTGTCAGGCAGTGAGACTAACCAGCCGGCTCGCCGGCCTTCTGCTGCATTGTCACCGGAAGACTTGACAGAGACTGAGTGGTTCTATCTTATGTGTGTTTCCTTCTCTTTCGCGCCTGGTGTGGAGTAAGTTATCATCAACCTTACCTCTCTCTCTCTCTCTCTCTCTCTCTGATAGTTAATTATAGTTTTCTTATTCATAGGTTTCTGTCTTTAGAATTTCAGTTTAATATCCCTGCACATGGAGAAGAATTCTTGGATGTGTTTGAATTTTATTGCCTTCACAGGATAGCAACCAGTTCCTCTCTCTCTCTCTCTCTCTCTCTCTCTCTCTCAGACACGTGTATACAGGTGAAATGGGTCCGAGTTTTGCAGAGGGAATGCTTAGTGGATACTGTGCAATTACACCTGTTGATAGTCAACCAATTCAATTTCTTCAAAAAGTCATATTTCTGGATCAAATACCATGACAAATCTGAACTAGTGTGCCATATCTGATTTCTTATTCCCTTTGAATGAACTGATCATATGGCTATCACTGTGAGTATGTGAGGACTAAATGAAGGTCTGATTGCTGATCTTGTTTGTATTCAAGATCCAAGCAAGTATCTATGAAGGAATAAGTTCTTGAGACTGTGTCAAAGGTTTAAGGAAAACTGAATTGGTGTTACTGCTCACTAAAATTTCACTCAAAGGATGGCTAGCTAGTTAAGAACACCCACTAGTATATATATATATGGTGGTGTATACATCATCATCTCTCTCTCTCTCTCTCTCTCTCTCTCTCCTCTCTGATCTGAGAATATTTAATGGGTTATTATGGTTATGTAGGTTACCGGGAAAGGCATTTGCGAGACGGCACCATGTATGGCTCAGTGGTGCGAATGAGGTCGATAGTAAAGTGTTTTCAAGGTCTATTCTTGCCAAGGTACCATCATGGATTTCATTCTTTTGTTTCTTCTACACTTTTACATTGTCAATTGCAGATGACATGGTGATGATGATGATAAAGAAGCTTTTTTGAACCTTCTAGAGAACCAACCAAGAAGATACCAAATCATCAACGACTCTCACCATTTTTAGAAAAACAATTCTACATTGACCAAAGCCAAGAAGATGTGACTTCAAGTCAAGTCACATCAATGAGTTGCGTTAATATTTCACTTGAGAATCGTGTTTGAGAAAATTACTCTCTGAATCAGAAAATTTTCATTTCTCTTGTAATTTCAATTCCAACCCCCCAGTGAACTAATTACCGTCATTTCTTTTTCGTTTTCTTCAACTTCATTGGTCTTGCACCAGAGCGCTCGCATTCAGGTAATTAATTTCTATTTATCATTTCAAACTTCGAGAGAATGGATAGCAGGACTGGTGCTTGATTTCTTGTTCATTTTGAATGAAATGGTGGCATTAATTAATGTTGCAGACAGTTATATGCATTCCTCTCATGGATGGCGTTGTCGAATTCGGCACTACTGAAAGAGTAAGCTAATATAATAAGCTCTTACTCCTTCATTTTGGTCCCCCAGATTCACTGATATCGTTTCGTTTACGACTGTTAATGCAGGTTCAGGAGGACCTCAGACTGGTACAACAGGTCAAAAGCTTCTTCGTCGAACACCACAACCCCCCAAAGCCAGCCCTCTCCGAGCACTCGACCTCGAACCCAGCAACTTCCGTAGATCGTCCCCAGTTCGACTCGTCCCCACCCCTTCCCGCCGTGTACACGATCGCAGACCCACCCGCCAACGTCAATGAAAACGATGAGGAAGAAGAAGAAGATGAGGAGGATGAGGAGGAGGATGAAGTCGAGTCCGACTCCGAGGCCCAAACCGGGCGTGGCAGTCACCCCAACGCCGCGCAACACCCGCGGCGCATATGCCCACCGATCAACCAAGGTGGAACGCCAGCTCAAGCGGCAGCCGAGCCAAGCGAGTTGATGCAGCTGGAGATGTCGGAAGACATCCGGATGGGATCGCCGGACGACGGGTCGAACAACTTGGAGTCGGACGTACACATTCTGGGGGCGAGCCAGTCCGGCGGGCAAGAGGATCATCAACGCCGAGGGGACTCGTACCGGGCGGAATCGGCCCGTAGGTGGCCGCAGTCGAAGCAGGATCAGCTGGGCAACGGTCTTCAGCCACCACCTTTGGGTACGTTGATACGTAGTAGACTAGTAGTTGGATTTTTGGAGACCGGATCTGCTCCTCACACCTGGCGCTTCACACGCACATCCTACCATGCATTAGAAACATCACCCGTACTTATTAATTATTATTTACGATAGATGTTCTCAATGCACGGTAGATGTACAGGTGAGGCGCCCATTTGTAAGGAGCAGATCCCGTCTCGGATTTATTGCGCCTCGCGTCACACGTTCTCTCTCTCTCGCTCGCACGTAGGGGTTGGGGTTTGGTACATCTCACTTTCTGAGTTTCTGGGATTTTTAGTGGGCCCCATGAAATACGAATATCAAACTTCTGGAACTCTTTCTGACGACCTTTTGACCTGCGTCGTTCGGCATCATCTTTGTCGTCTTCTTAGAGCTCCGTCACACTGGCCACTGCCACATGGACGTTGTACACCTGCCGACGATGAGAATATCCTGATTTGATACGTCCTTTCGARTCGGGTCAGGACTGGGTCCGAGTAGACCCGGCCCTGAACATAAGAAGAGAATCAACGACCCTAACTGTATGAGTGTTCATGGTCCAGATTGTTAAACCGGACCAAACCAAATTGAAATTCGCAGTTTGGTATGGGATTATTTTAAAAAAAGTCTGATCTAGTTTAGCAAATTTTATGGTTTTGGTCAAGTTTTTGAATTTCAAAAACCAAACCAGACTACCATAAACTGAATTCTTAATAGTATATGTTATCATACACACACACAAAATATAGATATTTATTTAACATTTAAGCATATTGTAAGTGTTTTCAATCCATTGTTGATCCAGTCAATTGAACTGTTCAAAYTATAATCCGGTCATGATTTTAGGTTTGATTCTCTTAAAATCCAACCTTTGATTAAAAACCTTTAACATGGTCAAAAAACATTAAATACAAGCAATTGGACCATTAACCCATTCAATCCAGTGATCGGATTCACAAGCTGCAAAATAAATGTATATGCAAACTTCCCGGGGGCATAACTTTGTGCTTGGATATCCAATTGAGGAGGCATTTTTTTTTTTTTTTCAATTTTGGATAACTTTTGGCAATCTATGCATCCCAAGGTGCATAGAATGTATGTATGTATATTTTACATATGCTGATGTGGCATGGTATGACTATAACCCATTCGACCTAAATGGTTTCACTTTTGGTTTTTTGAGTTCAATTTTTGATTACTTCGGTTTTACAAAATTTAAGTTTTAGTTTTGGTTTCATGTTTGGAAAATTTGGTTTTAACCGAAAACCAAACTGAAAATTTTAATTCATTTAAAATTTTTTGATTTATTCGATTTAGTTTTTAACCAAATAAATCATTTTGCTCACCCCTAAATCAAACTATGCAGGGGATTGGCATTGTAGGCAAGTTTCAAGTTCAGTTTTTAAAAATGTTGAACTCGTTTATATTTATATATCTTTGTGACGTGCGGGGTCCTTGTACTCCTCGCGGTTTGTAATTTTCTTCAAAAATATCGAAAAAGATAAAAGAAAAAGAAGACTGATCAAACAAAACAATTAGTAATTGATAGATATGTGACACTTTGTTGGCATTTCAATTTAATATTTGAATTCTATTTGTTTATACAGGTATATATGCTATTTATGCTTAATTTAATTAAGTTAAACCCAATAAAATGGCCCAAACTGTATAATATAATAATACGATCTAATCTAATCTGATTTCAATTTTAAAATGGTTTGATCTTATATGAAAATTTCTCATACCATAATTACGGTTTGATCTAAAATATTCTCCAAACAGATCGGATCAGATCATGAACACCGCTACCTTATTAGGTGGGAGCAGCCGACCAGGAGTAAAGCCAATCTCAACCTTACTATAATTGGACTCATAATGTGGATGCAGACCGGGTCAGATCACTTTGGGTTATGAATTGATCCAATCCATTAACAAGCCTAAAGAAGTAAAAATACTTCGTCACCGAGCGGTAAGGCATGAAATGGAGAAGGTTAAGGAATTTATGATCCGGTCCCACTTTAGACACACATTTAGGAATTTTGATCCATAAAAGATCCAATGTTATGTAATTAAAATTCGGGTTGGATACGGATCCTATATTATTCATTTCCTTTTAGGATCCTGCACATAATCCAATCCGAATGCACAGGCGAATTGGGTCATAGGGCATGTAAAACCACTCAATCCATCAGATCCAGCGATTATGGTGGACTGGTCCATATTCTCGTGCTTGTTAGGGGTAAATAAATTTCTACCCGGAAACAAATAGAATTGCCCATGGATTGACCTTATCTGATCTGTTAGAGGGTAGGGTGTGGTTCCAAAATTCTTGCAACAACAGAAACCAGCCAGGTCTGTTTTAAGGTCTAGAGGTTTACTTTATCTAAACCAACCCGATAAATCCCAAAATATTTTTATTTAAAAATTACAAAAGTCATGATCTCGTTTGACCATCAAGATTTGATCATTTATTTTCGTTTTAATATTTATAAAATTTAAATGATAATTTATATATTCAATTATTCAATTTAATTAATAAAAATAATATAAATTTTAAAAGTAATGAAAGAATAGGTGCTCACCTCTATAGTCGGAGTGAAAATCAGAAAACGCGCGACTCTCACGTTTGGACTTGTTTTCGTTTCTTTATTGGCGAAGCAGCTCCTCAAATGGACGAATCGGCACAAGAAGACAGCCACTACTCTCAAACAGTCTCCACTATCATCCAGCGGAATTCCAGCCGGTGGTTGGAATCCTCGTCGGTCGGCCCCGTCGGATACTCTGCACACTCGGCGTTTTCCAAGTGGAACTGCCGGAACGATCACCTCCTCCACCTGCGGCTGGAAGGCACGTCGCAGTGGCTCCTCAAATACATTCTCTTCACCGTTCCCTTCCTGCACAACAAGTACCGCGACGAGAACTCACCAAAATCCCGAGACGGAGACTCCGCCGCACGGTTCCGCAAGGGCACACCCCAAGATGAGCTCAGCGCGAACCATGTCCTAGCGGAACGCCGGCGACGCGAGAAGCTCAACGAACGGTTCATCATACTGAGATCATTGGTCCCGTTTGTGACCAAGATGGACAAGGCGTCCATACTCGGGGACACAATCGAATACGTCAAACAGCTTCGGAAAAAAATCCAGGACCTCGAGTCACGTAACCGGCAGATGGAGAGTGATCAACGACCCAGAAATGAGGACACCCAGAAGACAAGCAGCTCCAAGGAGCAATGGAGCGTGCACGGAAACAGTGGGATTACGCTGCCGGAACGGAGCCGAGGATTCGCAGGATCGGATAAGAGGAAGTTGAGAATAGTAGAAGGAGCGGGGGGACGAAGACCGAGTAGGATGGTGGGGAACACGGTTGAGGTGTCGATTATCGAGAGTGATGCATTGCTGGAATTGCAGTGTCCTTACAGGGACGGACTACTAATCGACATAATGCAGATGCTGCGGGAGCTCCGATTCGAGATCACCGCCGTTCATTCTTCATCAACCAACGGCATCTTCAATGCAGAGCTACGAGCTAAGGTACGTTTGGGTCCATTTCACACTCAAACTTTTCAGTTTAGGTTGCTAATATTTAATAGTAGGCACGTTAGGTAAGCACCATCAATGAGCACTAATAKTCAATAGTCTTATGTGCTTTTCATCCAAACGTTTTTATTGTGTGAGACAGAAATTATTCATTATTTTATTATTTTTGTTAAAATAATTAAAATTAAAAAGCAATGAAAAAGGAAAATATTAATAAGTTCCAATTTTCAACACGTTTAGGTTTTTCATTTTTATTGTTTTTATTTTTAATTATTTTGATAAAGATAATAAAATAATAGATAATTTTTGTTTAATACATCAATTAGGACACGTGTCACACAGCTATTACGTGTTCACTCATTGTACTTATTTAACGTGCCTACTACATCCGAACCCATTGTGCTTATTTAATACAATGGTTTCATTACAGTACGGTGTCTGAAATTAGGGGTGCAACCGTGCAAGTTGCGTCGGGTTAGGTCTAGTTGTAAAATTAGGGGAACAATTAAGTTGGGCCGAGTTAAGGGTGTTCTGCATCGATTCAGTTTGGTTTGGTTCGGAAAATGGAACCAGACTGACATTTCAGTTAAGCCACCTGCAAAAATCGAACTGCACTAAAGTAAGCTTGAAGTTAACTCAAAACAAAACAGTCTCAACTAAACATAAAATTGGTTTCTAAACTCAAAATGGCTAGAAGGTGCTGATGTGGCGAGTTTCAAACATAAACARCCATCGTACCAGAGACATTGACCTCGCTTGGCACGTTTTTCCGAGTGATCTTTTGGATGTTTACAAGCCGGATAGACCGATTTTCAATCTATTCCTGTTTGGCTCACGAAAGATCTATCCGCCAAAAGCTGAAATGCTGAAAAGGCACGAAAAACCCATTTTGAGTTGATTTTGAGAAGCTCCAAATGAAGTTTTTCGCATCTTTCGCGTTTTACTCTCGTGCAGAAAGACATGGAAAGATGCACGGAAATATGTATACCTGCCAAACTAATTTTGGACTGTTCAAACCTTCATGCAAAAGCTCAATATGTCTTTTGACTATTCTAATTTTTCCTCTATTTTTTTTTTTCTTTCAGGTGAAGGAGAATGTAAATGAAAAGAAACCAAGTATTGCGGAAGTAAAAAGAGCAATACACCAAATTATAAATGAATTCTGACCCCGTATCTGTTCTACCGTAGAAGAATTCTATTTAGAGCTAGAATTGACGGTCGACCATGGCGATCTGTGTGCTAACTACTGATATAATCTCCTTGTAGTGTACAATGTAATTGTGACTTGTGACTTGTGAGCTACTGATGAGAAAATAAATGAAATTCCCAAATCCATGTTGATGTAACATATAGATATTATATATAGATAAAATTTTGGTCCCGTTTGTTTTTTGGTAAGTTATTTATCCTAAATAAATGCAGTTATTTGATTAAGTTTTTCTTGGGAAATACTTACTCASGTAAGTGCATTTATTCATATTCCTTTATTTCTCATATAAATAAGGCAATGACCATTTTAGTCATAAAAATCCATTATTAAAAAGTGCATTTTTGTTCCATTCAAGTGTTGGCAACTTTCCCCTATGTGGGAAAGTTATTTACCCACCCAGGGTAAGTGATACCCCGGAAAATAAACTTTCCTGGTCATCACATAAATATTAAAAAAGAACATGGGATTCTTGGTCAATGGAAACCAAAATCCCATTGACCAACTTTCACCCCTCTCAAAATCTGAAAAAAGAACGCCCCCTTATAGTAAATTGCTGAAACTTCTCTTGAAGTTTCTAATTGTTGCTGAAACCTTCCCTAAAGTTTGGTAATTGCAATCATCTTCCTTGAACTTTTTTATTCAGTTGCATGCAAATAGAGCCCTCTATAAGAAGATGTATGAAAAATATCCAAAATACCCATGCAGTTGCTGTTGAGACATAAAAAACAACCCAAACACTGCGAACAACAAGAAAAGAGAATTTAATGCAATTTTACCTTTAAACAATTGATATAAAGGGAAATTTTGAAAAATAAATCAATTTCAGAAAAGAGATTTGAAGGGCTTGAGGTAACAATTGATACAAAGAAAAAATTTGGAAAATTAAACATTTTGGTCAAAAGTTATTGCATGGGTGTTTTGAACATTTTCATGACACTTAATTGAGAATTCTTATATAAGGGGTTTAATTGCAACTATGTCTACAAATTCAGGGGAAGTGATTGAAATTACCAAACCTCAAGAGGGGTTTCAGCAATTTACCCTAAATTTTATTATATATGATCAAAATTCGATCAAACCAGTAAATTCCCTCAAAATCTGAACTTGATTAAAAATTATATATATAATTTATAACTAATAAATCTAATATTTTAAAACTTTTTTTTTTATTTTAAACATAATAAAGTGGATTTTGATTAAATCTGAATCAGATCTCAATTCAACATAACAGATTCAGAACCAAAGCTTTGGTGATCGAATTGGATTAGATTTAAATGTAGTTGGATTAGATTTTAACACCAAACCATTTTCATTATTTTTTGTTAATAATAATTAGGGGTGTTTACGGGTCGGGTTGGGTCGGTTTATTGGGGTTTTCCCAACTGACCCGACCTAGTTGGATTGGGTCGGTTTATTGCTCCTGTACAAAAGGACACATAATTGCTCCTGTACAAAAGGACACATAATTGAATTCTAATTGTAATTGCCTAATGGGTTGCCTATTTGGTGTAAAAGATTATAGAAAGTTAGAAACTAGAATAGCTTGCCTATTCTAATTGTAATTGCCTAATGGGCCTTCTAGTTCTAGTAGAA